AAGGAATTTCCATATTGCGGTCAATGTTTGCTCGTGCAAAGCACAAGGTTGTTAATTCTGTCATCCAGATTATTTTTGTGCTTAGTCTTTTCTTATTATATATATATATTATACTAATATATTATACTATATATATATATATATTATATATATATTTATTGAAATTGCTTGTGATTAAATAATAATTAAATGTAGATGTATATATTTGATAATTGCTTGTGATTAAATAATAATAAATGTAGATGTTGAAGATAGATTTACCGTCCAACTACTCATCTCAATGTGTCCTATATGTCATACCATGTAATTGATTGAGTTATTGCAGTTTTATTCAAATATGAGTTTTGTATTTAAGACATTTTGAGCTTATCAATTTTTTTGCAACTACATCTTAAAAGAAAATCAGGGTACTAAAAAGAAAATCGGGCATCTCGGAACTTATAGACCTATTGCAATTGTATCCTAAGGCTTCTGATTAATAATATACAAAAGAGCCTCACAATTACATTTGGGTTAATTTAGGACCGGACAATTGAGTTTGGGTTAACTTGAAGTCTTGGTTGTTTCCTCTTTAATTTAAACTGTTTATTTTGCATTCAAGATGTTTAGGCTGTAGAGAAATTGATTTCCTGGACATTCAGTTTGTGTTTTCATCCTTATAGGGGTTGAGGTCACTTATCACCTCAACCAACACCTTTTTTTTTTATTGTTTATTTTGCATTTAACTAAATTTGAGTTAGCATAATCCAAGTTCAATTGAGTTTAAGGTATTATTGCAACATATTGATAAGTTTAAAAGGCTATGATTTGCTTTTGGGCCTTATCAAGGTGTTTATGGTAAAAAATTCCTTTTAGGGTAAAACTATAAGAACTAATAAATTTAAGGCATTTTTAGTTTTAAGTCCAAATAAAAATATACTTGGAAGAAAATTTGCAAAATTAACTATCTTAGAATGAATTTGCGGTGACAATCTTGATTGCATTAGTTAGCCAACTTGTTTGCATAATTTGTTGTGATTTTGGGTTTTGAGTGTGACATTATACTTTCAATTAGGACCATATAAAATCATATTTTTTTTCTAATAAAACTATTTAAGAAATATTCAAATTCAAGTATAATACTTCAATTTTTATTTCAAGTGTAAATATAGTATATTGAGTAAATTATAATAAATCAATTTCTTTTAGAAAGAAGCGACTGGAATTATTATTAGAAATAAAATAGACTTGTACATGACTTAAAATGATTTAAATACTTGATTTCTATTTTTTTAGAGATCTAACGTTATTGAGAGTATATAATTAAAGAAACATATTAAAACTTAATTAATTATTACATAAAACATATATAAATCATATTGAATTGCACACACTTTAATCACTGCAAAATAAATAAAAGAAACTAAAATTAGCAAAGTACAAAGTGAAAATGAAATTTGAAAAAACAAAACTAAGTAAACAACAAACAAAACAATAAAAGACTACAATATTCTTCTTTTAACCAGCAATAAACTGAAGAAGTAAAACACTAAATTAGAAATAAATTTAATAATTTTGAGGAAAAAAAAGAATAGTGAATAAGGAAAGAATCCTAAACTTTTTCTTTATATATACTATAAAAATATCGAAAATTTTAATTTGTTAAAAAATATATATAATTTTCAAAAGCTAAAACTATTTGTGCCAACTCAATTTTTTTTTCATTTTAAATCAAAATCATAAAAAAAAAAAAAAAAACGTAGGCAACATTTTTATGATAAATTCAGCTTAACTTCAATCATGCAACTGCAGTACATACAAACCATAAAATGAATTTAAAGATCTCAAATATTATTGACATGGAAATATTCAACTTATCGTGAGAAGGGGAAAAAAACTTATACCCAGATAATTTACTCAAAAATAAAAAATCATAACCAAACAAACCAAAAGATAATAAAAAAAAAAGAGAAGAAGACTATTCACTATCTTATCTTCTTATTTTCAAACTGCATGGGATAAATCTTAAAAACTGATCGGTTAAGAGATAGAAATTTTACCATATCATCGGAAGAAATTCTCTTATGGGTTATGGTCTATGGTAAAGTGACAATCTGAAAGAAAAATTGTAATTAACGCATCGCCTGATGAAATAGAGATTTTTAGCATTTTAACTTCAATTTATTCAATTGAAAAGGAAGAGAAATTTGGCAAAATTCAATTAGGAAGAAGAAGGTTTTGATAGCAATAGGAATATCGACTTCATGTTAGTATTTTTAGATTATAATGATATCATTAAATTTAGAAAATTAAATTTTAAATGTTTAAGAAATGTATAAAACTGAAGAATTATAATAATGACTATTGAATTTGGAAAATTAAATTTGAAATATTTAAGGAATGTAGAAAATTGGAAAATTAATTATCAAAGACAATTAACATTTTTATTAAAAGATTTTAAATTACTAAAATAAAGGATTTAATTTCGTTTTGAATTCCACTCTCCATTTAAAGAAGGTGATTTTCAAATTTTGAGCATTGATTTTCCTTAAAAATTATTAATATTTGTTGACTTCGATTTAATTTCTAATAAAATGGAAAGAGTCATAGCTACCATATGAATGCCTTCCAAATGCTGCAAATTTCCAAAATATAAAATGTTTAGGAGAAAATAAAATAATTTGTTATCCATTTAAATTTTAAACGTTTATATTAAAATGGAAAGAGAATTTAGATTGAAGTTTTAGTAGATGCAATCATATTCAAATTAAATTATAATATTGAAATTGTAAAATATTTAAAGATAAAAATTTACAAATGAATAGGGTAGATTGCCGTTTAAAAAATTTGCCTCTTTTTTTTTTACCTTTTACAAAATTGATTTACTTTTAACAAAACATATAACTCAGTTACTGTCAAATAATTATGCTTCTAAATATTCAATGTATAAAAACTACACAAGATTTTTTTTCTTCATTCCATCTCTAAAATCTGAAATCCCTCCCGGTCAAGATAAAATAACATGCTCAAATATTGTCAATTCTCTCTCCTTTGATGAAGCGCCACATCAGTATATAGGAAAAGCCCATGATTCTATTTTGTATATGTACCAGACAGTTTCCTGCGCTTTGCGCGATTATGTAGTTTATTTATTTTTCAGATGTTAAATATATATATTGGATAAATGATTAAAAATTTAAAGTGCATACAATGCTTAGAGACTATAATTCAAATGTATCATGTGAAATTGAAAATTTTTATTCTAATTAATGAGTGAATTAGTTACCATAAATTTGAAAGGAAAAAATGTTAATATAGTATTTATATGTGGCCAATTGAAATAGAGAAAGCATGTGCTGTATAAATACGAAATAATAACAGAAAAATTGGTTAGAACATATATCTCCTTTCAGTAATAACTTGAAGCATAAAAATGCATATATAAATAAATTTGAAAAAATTATGAAAACTATTACTTTATTTATTCATATATCATATTTTTTTGGTAATACATTTTTGTCCATTTTTATATTTATTTATGTTGATTTTTTATTTTATAAAATATTATTTTAGGCAATTTATAAACAAATCATTTAGAAGGGAAAGTGATTTTAAGTTTAAGAAGGCTAAAAGATATATTTTTACACTCTATTTGGTTGGAGGTGAAGGAAGGGTAAATAAAGAGAATGAGAGGTATTTAAGATATTTATCCTCGTTTGGAAAGAGGTGAGTTAAGAAAGGACGAAAGTAAATAAGGATAAATCTTACCCTCCTTTAGCTTGGCCAAGCTTTTCCATAAATAATAATCTACTGATAATAGAAAAGCTAAACTAAAGCTATATATATATATATCATTGTAAACCTAATTGATTACTTCCAATTTTATATATATAAGAGGCCATCCATCTGTCTTTTTGAATTTTGAGAGTGTTTAAAATTTCAATATTAGATTTGGTAAACCATTAAATTAAATTCCTGCAATTCACACACACACACACATATATATATATATAGATTAATCCCTGCAATTCACATTGCTACATTCCTCTGTTCGTACAAAATTTCACAGGCTACAACTGAAAGAACTTAGAACACCATATGCTACTATTTTATATCTAATAATAGGCAGACAAAATAGTTTACAGAAATCACATGTGGCCCTCGTTGAAAACCAAAATCATTCATTTCATGCAACAATAAATTTCTAAATAATAAATAGCTGCCAACAGAGTTTCTGCTGCACATTTCCATATGAAATTAAAAGCATAAATAAGTTATTCTCTTTATTGCCTATCTAGTTACATAGTCACAGAAACAATCAAATGTTCATATCATTTCCAGTAATTAAACTCATGCGAACCTATCACACCTATGCCAGGCATGAACATGTGCAAAAAGATGCAAATTTTAATTGATGGAATTGTGGATAATTAGATTAAAAATGTCAAAGAGTAAGAAAGTGTTGAAGCTCACCTTGTTGGTGAAAATCGCCAGAAATGGACCCTCCACTTCTGTCTCTCTTCCGTGATTGTCAAGACAAAGAAACTCGGCAGCGAGGAAATATGATCGGAAACTAAAGCTAGATGGCAATGTCGAGCCTTGCCGTTGGTTAGTTGGAGACGGATATTTAGCAGCAAGAAGGGGAAGAGAGCATATGATCGCGTGGAGGAGGAAGAGTTAAATTTCAAATTGAAACGTCCCAAGTGTTTAGAAATATGATACCCCGCAAGAGGTATTCGAAAAAGCAATTTCTATATGAGCGTTAGAATCATTAAAGATAGATCTCCTTAAAAATCTAAGGTTTTTTCTAAACTTTTCACCATTTAAAAATACAAATTTCTCACAAAATTTTCTTAGTTAAGATAAATAGAGATGCTCAAATATTATGAAGTCTCATCTTTGGAGGAATTGCCATATCAGCACACAAGAACGCCATTGTGATGTGATTCTCCTTTGACTCGTGTTATCCCCTACATAAAGCACAAATCCTTTTTATCAATGTCATCACAACCACATGAGCGGATTAACCCACATAAAGATCACATCGAATTATATGATTGGAAACAATAAAAAGGCAAAATTTCCAAGTATTACATTTACATCATGCCAAAATTTGCATCTATTTAGCTATGTGATGGTGTTCTAATATAACTGAAGTTTGACGAGTGGATAATTTATGACCCTCCCATCTCTTTACCACATTTCTATTTATACAATAGTGGGCCAGATCTTGATACTGCAAATCTTGGCAATGGACTGGGACCCGTGCTGCCTGAGGTTGAACCTTCATTCAATTTAACTTTACGGCTTGAACTATAATCCAAAGGCCCAGACCGACGAACATTCCGGTGTCGACTTTCAGTGCTGTGAAGGTTTCCATTATCAGTATCATATGAGTGTTCCTGGCTGAGGGATGATGTTCCCTTAAAGTATCCAGAATCATTTGTGCCATACTGAGGTGTCGAATCTCCTCGAGGCTGCTTCACCACAGGAGATGCATGTGACAATGACACAGCAGGTGAATGGCGAGGTGACGAACTTAGTAGTGCTAATGGCATGGAAGGAGAATTTGAATAGTACTGGCTGTAAATCGAACGGAGAATTGCATATGGAATATGGGCTTCAAGGGAACTTCGTGGAAGGTACGGAGAGATCTCACAAAATTGATCCAAGAAAATAAGCTTTGCTACAAGATGAGATCTGTACAAAACATTGGAACATGTAAACTTTACCTTAAATTCATAAAAGAACTACTAACTACAGCAGAGAACAAGTGCAGGAAAACAGCAAACGGAAAAAGAGAACTGAACAAGAAAAGAAGCCACAAGCATGCCATTGCCAGTCATTGAAGGACTAGAAAGCATTCAATAAAATTAAAACTCTCAAGGTTTATCGAGTGGTGAGCATTTGCTTTCAGAGGCATGCTAATTCAAGAATCAGTTTTTCATTTAACATGTCAAAGGAACAAAAAATTTCACTTTTATTTCATTATAATCCATTTTAGATCTCCTAACAGTATTAGAAATTGAAAATTGGTATCAAATTTAACTGAGAGTTTCAGAAACAGCAATAGTAGTTCAACAATAATATATTTGCTAATGGTTTGAATGTACTAGAAAAATTAGAATACTTTTTCTTGGTATGCAAATCCAAAAGAATTATCATTCGAGTAGAGAACTGGAAAATATAAGTTTTTAGACCAAGTGGCTCCAAAATGCAAATAGTAGAGATAAGAAAATGCATGCTTGTTTCTGTGTATGTTATGCACATGCTCTGCATCTGTATATATGCATTGATATTACCTATTAGCTTCATTCCAAGAATCTAGCACAATTCCAGCAGCAAATTTAACAAAAAGCTGCATTGCGGATTTGATACTTGCTTCTGCAGACAAACGGCTATGTAAATCAGGATCTAAAGCCTCACCAACATGGCCATTAGAGAGAGATTGCCTCTGCTGATGTTCACGTTCCAATCTAACAAGCTCACTTCCTGCAATTACAGCACTCATGCACCTGCCAGCAAGATTTGATATGAAAGGCACAAAAATTAGTAATGGACATTTAAAACCACTCTCTGAATGTACAAAGCATAAATGAGCCCTATCAACACTCTGATATATATCTTGTTTCGACAAGTTTCAATTGGTGAAGCAAGGAGAAGTCAATAGGCATGAGAATTTCATCATATTCAAACCGAGAGAATGTAGCTGATGTTTGTAGATAAAGATATCCCCCATGAGACCCCATAGCACAAACCGTATTAAAAACAATAGGGAGCTTGATCCAGTTTCTGAATTCAGAACTGGAAACAATCAGTCCATTCATCTCTCTCTCTCTCTCCCCTCCCCACATCCCCTCCCACCCCAGGGCCCCCATGGTGCTCCCCCAATACAGAATTAGATATTCAATGGACCACTCAACAACACGTTGGATAGAAAAGCTAGTTAAGAGCATTTCAATAAGATCATTAGCATGTATTCATATACAGTCTACTATGTTCCAGAATTGGAAATATTTTATTCAGCAGTCTAGGCAACACAATTTCAATGTATGGTTGCAAAATAAAAACTAACCTTGCCAAGCAATGAATATTGTTGTTGAATCCTCCTGTGTCAACATTGAACCCAGTGGTGTTCCAGATGCTTGATGTCATGAATGTTGCAAATAAATAAGGCAACAAGGTCCAAGAACCATCATTTGCACCACCCACCTCTTCCAGAATTGATCTTACCCACTCAGAATCATGATCCACAACCAGACCAACACTATTTGCTACGCCTCTTATCCTCTTAATTTCTCTCTTTTCTGGCATTTCTTCAGGTATATGCTTAACTATCCCAGCAAGTAGCGAATATATCAAGGGTGCACCTTCTTCGAGCACAATTCCAGCAGCTTCAGCAAGAAGCTGATCAAAAGCAAGTGCTTGCCCTGCCTCAATACAAAATCCAATTACAGTATCCAAGTCCACAATCTGCTTTAGGGATACATCCCTTTCTATTCGATCACCAGAATGCATGCTGACGGCAACTGCCTCTAAAACTTCACGGTTTGAACGTAATGATGTGTCAATGCAATTTAAAAGTGCAGCAGTGTGTTCTTTCATCATTCTGTCTAGCCTGTCAATTCCATAGGCACCAAAAATACGCACTAGGGCCTGCAATTCTCCAAGATCAGTAACTGACTCTGCAAAATATCCACCAACAGGCCTTGTGCTTTTGAAGCATTTGTGCATTGGTGTAAACAAGATTCCTGCACCTGACATATCTTTGACAATGTTTTCTATGTACCAATTGCATACAACTTCAGTGGCTGATCCAGTAGGCTGCTCAGATGGTTTTCCAAACAAGTGCAGAGAAGAAACTGGTCCTGAAAAGGCCTCTGTGAGAAGAACTTCTCGTATACCGTGGGTTAGGTCCATGCTTATGTGCTGCTCTGCTAGATGGACTATGCTCATGTGCCTGCGAATCAATGACTCAAGCACAGAAGGCCGCTGAAGATCATTGTCAGTTTTTAACACTGCAAGTAATCTTCTCCTGAAGTTCCCGAGGAAGCACTCTCTCATATACTACACATAAAGCAGAATATTCTGAGAACTTCATGCTACATATCTTGCAGGTTAAAGTGACGTAGAGCACATCCTTGTTCAATAATAGGTCATAGAAGTCAGCATTCAACTAAAACAAGAAAAAGTGAGGAGTTCGCCAAAATATTTTATTTCCATTTATTCTCTGGTGTTTTTTTCCTTGATTCAGTATATCACCCATTATGAGGTTCTAATCATATGAGGCAGCAGTAGCTTATCATTCTTTACCTATTCTTTAAATTCATGTTATTTCACACACATATCAGATTTTGTTATTATGTAATCAGCATGGGGAAGGAAGGGAAGAAAGAAAAAGAAATGGCATGTCTCACCTCCCTCAGAACAAACACATGGTTTAGAACACATATTGGCTCCATGTCATTCAAAACTGAACATAAGTTGGTCAACCTTTGCATTGCAGCTTCTAACCTGAAATCAACACAAATGTCAAGGCCTAAATGTAGCCTTGCACATTCAACAAGGACGAAAACATAGGGTGCCTTACATTTTTATAGAACTATTATTTTCTGGATAGCTCTCATGCCCAGGCAGAGAAAAACCAACTGCTCCTTTGGGAGATTTTGTTGAAGGAAGTGACACCCTAGATGTGTTATTCAAATAAAAAGCCGCCTGCTCTGGAAGAAGCTGAAATTTTCAAATAAATAAACTCAGCACAGTACCAATTAAAAAAATCCCTTTATGTTTAGACCATCAATCAAAGGTAACAACCTGAGTCTCTAAGGCACCAAAACCTCCATCAGAATCGAGAATATTGATCAAGCCCTCCAATCCTCCCATAACAGATTCAATAAGAGATTCAACATACAGGACTGCATCTCGCCCAATTTTGGTGACCTGCTAGGAGAAATTCATGTTCCATTCAGATATATGCTTGATGAGGGTGGCAGACTTCATAATTCAATAATCAGCAACAAGAACAAAAACAATAATCATTCTGCCAAAAGTTAATTTCATAAATTTATCAAATCAATGTTTTACTTTACAAGGAAATCAGAATTCCAGTAACACTATTTATAGGAAAACATATCAAGTTCCATCAGGTCATAATAAATGGAACTTTTGACCTGAATACTGATGGAAGAAATAATTCTTTGTTAGCAAACTTGTTTCATTAGATTATGAACCACAAAATTGCACCATGTGACTTTCAATATGAAAAAAAGAAAAATGTAGTTCGTGTCTTAGGCTAATTATAGTCATGGTTCATCGCTCTGCACATACTATCAGTTTGTTCACAGATAGTTAACTGGCATCAATCAGATAATTAAACTTCTATCCAGTCTCATCTGAAGGAAAATAACTTGGGATCTGCTGAAAGACCCACTGGAAAGCAGGCATGGAGGCCACATTGGAGAGAGAACATGGAGAAGTGAAAATAGATATTTAAGAAAGAGAGTAAAAAATTGGACTTTGTACTTAGATACTAACTAGAATAAGGAAAAGTGACATGAGTTTTTTGGCAAGCATTTGAACTGCTCTAATGAAATTAAGTACATTCAGACTGAACTGAAAATTGATCACAATTTTATCCAAAGTGAAGATTTTTTACCAAATTGAAATTGAGTACAAAGTTGAGAAATCACATGTATTTACTCCATTATTTTCATTACTGGGTGATGGTTTACTATTTATTTTGCCTATGAAAAATTCAAATGGAAGACTGTTATAATTTTCAATTGATAGGCAGAGGTGGAACAAGACAATGGGGCTTGAGTGTGTAAATTAAACTTTTGGTTTTGGACAGTTGACCTCCATTGCTTATGTACCCTTTATATTTTTCATTCCAAACCAAGGTGACATAACACTCAACACTCCCCATTAAGTGAAAAGTGCATCCACTTGGCAGTTGAACTTGAAATAAAGTCCAACAATCCCCCTGAAACATGGTTGGATACCAGGTCGGGCCACTAGGACTGGACAGCCAGAGGAGAATCGGACAACCAGATCAGACCTGCTTTAATACCATGTTATAATTTATAAATTTGAATTAATAGAAAGAAGATGGCACAAGATAATGGGGCTTGAAACCTTCAATTGGCTAGAATTCCTTCCTTGAACGAAACTAGATCTTGTGGAATCATATTGAATCATAACCACTACCAAAATTCCACAAATTGTGCACCAGTCCGTTCTTGCAAGATTAAGGGCATAATTTTCGCCTTTTAATTTAAATTTAATTTAAATAGGATTTCCCCCGCTTAACGGATAACCATTTGCTACTGTGTAAATTATATTGTCTTTATGATGAGGTCTGTTAAGGAATAACTGTAAATAGAGTTCTATTAGGAGTTAGATTCTTAATAGGTTTGCAGTATCTTGTATATGTATTTATATGTGACCCTATTGATGAAAATGTAAACAATAATATTTTTTTTCACATTGAATTACATGGTATCAGAGCTTTCGGCTCGTTATGTTTTTTTTTCTGCTCTTTTGTGTTGAAGCTACAGGCAGAATTTCTGTGTTTCGGTGATTGTCAATGTAGGTCACCCACCTAGGGTTGTCCTTTTGTTTCACCGCCATCCAAGGAAGAAGGGCAGGTCGCCGATCGGCTCTCCCTCCAAATCCAGTCACCAGAACCCTCGTGAGTGGGCTTCACGCGCCACTCGCAGATTTTCGCCATTCTTCACGCGCTAGCGCGTGAGGGCTCGTTCGGCCATCTCCTGTCACTGGCTCTCAATTTTCAGCGTCGATTCTGCCAATACAGTGCAACCAAGTGTGTTGCGTCGGCCCTCTTTGACTTCTGTGGTGTTTTTCGTGCTGCACCTTTGCTGCCGCTTTGCCAGGTACAATCTGAGTTTGTGAATTTGTATTCTACTGCTGCCTATTTTTTATTCTGTTATCGAGTTACCAAGAACAGTAGTTTTCCTTTGTTGTGCTACACTTATTTTGAGTGCTTTGTCACAGATCATGACCACTCCACTGGAGACTTCCGAATCGAAACCTGTCATCACTGATGTGGTGTCATTACTAAATAAAATAACGGAACACAAACTTAATGGCTCCAATTTTCTGGCATGGAGTAAAACAGTTCGTATATATTTTCGTAATTTGGATGAGGATGACCACTTGACCAATGATCCACCTGAAAGAGATGCTAGGCAAATTTGGCTTAGAGAGGATGCTCGGTTATTTTTACAGCTTCAAAATTCGATTGACAGTGAGGTAATTGGTTTAATTAATCATTGTGAGTTTGTTAAGGAGCTGATGGCTTATCTTGAATTTTTGTACGTGGAAAAAGGTAATTTATCTCGTATGTATGAAGTTTGCAAAGGATTTTATCGGGCCGACCAGCAAGATAAGCCTCTTACAACTTATTTCATGGAATTTAAGAAGATTTACGAGGAACTTAATGTTTTCTTGCCTTTTAATCCCGATGTTAAGGTTCAACAGAATCAGCGAGAACAAATGGCTATAATGAGTTTTCTTGCAGGTCTTACTCTAGTGTTTGAAACTGCCAAATCACAGGTTCTTTCACGCAATGACATTACCTCTCTTCAGGAGACTTTCACTAGATTACTGCGTACTAAAGGATCTCATACCCCTTCCCCTTCTAAAAATAGTGCCCCTGTGAGTCGTAATTAGGTAGCTAGGTAGCCAGGAAACAGAGGAAGAGGAGGAAATCTAGGTAGCCAGGAAACAGAGGAAGAGGAGGAAATAACCACAGTCATGGAGCAATTAATCGGGAGGCGAGCATTGTTATTTGCCATTCTTGCCATAAATCTGGTCACACTAAACGGTATTGCAAGAAACTGATAAATAAGCCGTCAAGGGCAAATATGGCCACTCAAGATTCTGCAGTTGCTTCTTCTAACAACATTGTAACAATTTCTGCTGCGGAGTATGCTGAGCTCTCTAGACACCGTTCTTCTAAGTCTGCTGATTCCTCAATTGCTGCTGCTGTCAATTCAGGTACTCCTAATACACGCCTTATGTCTACCTCATCAGAATGGGTCATTGATTCTGGTTGCACAGATCACATAACAACTAACCCAAGTCTCTTATCCTCGTTAAAAGAACCTGAACAATTTAATCGTCATGTTGCTCTAGCTAATGGGTCCACATCTTCTGTCAAGTATATTGGCACCGCTAATCCCATCGTATCTGTTCCATTGTCTTCTGTTTTTTGTTTGCCTTATTTTTCGTTTAATCTATTGCCTGTTAGCAAAATTACTCGTATACTGAATTGTTGTGTTAAATTTTATCCTACTTTTTGTGTATTTCAAGATCTTTTGACGAAGCAGATTATTGGTAAAGGACGTGAGTCTAGTGGCCTTTATCTTCTGCATGAACAAGTTTCGTTATTTCTGGCTTGTATTGGTGCTCTATCTCCTCCTAAGGTTCATTGTCGTTGGCCATCCTTCATTGTCTACTTTAAAGAAGTTGTGTCTGCAGTTTCAGTCTTTATCAGTTTTAGAATGTGAATCTTGTCGATTTGCCAAACATCATCATTTACCTTTAGTTCCTCGAGTCAATAAACGGGTTTCATTCCCATTTGAGTTAGCTCTAATGTTTGGGGTCCATGTCTTGTTATTTCTAGGGTCCATGTCTTGTTATTTCTAAAACTGGATTTAGGTATTTTGTTACTTTTGTGGATGGTTATTCTCATGTTACTTAGTTATTTTTAATGAAAACTCATTCTAAGATATTCTCTATTTTTTGTCCCTTTTGTGCTAAGATTCAAACTCAATTTAATACCTCTGTTCGCATACTGCAAAGTGATAATGCTGAAGAATATTTATCTAGTTCCTTCCAATCTTATATGTCACAGAACGATATTCTCCATCAAACATCTTGTGTTGTTACTCCTCAAAATGGGGTTGTAGACAGAAAAACTCGACATCTTCGTGAGGTTGCTAGGGCACTTCTATTCCAAATGAAGGTCCCTAAACACTTTTGGGCTGATGTTGTTTCTACTGCATGTTTTTTGATCAATCGCATGCCTTCTTTTGTACTTAATGGTGAAATTCCTTATAGTGTCTTGTTTCCTTCTAAGCTTCTATTCCCCATTGAACCACGTATTAGTGGTTGTATTTGTTTTGTTCGTGATGTTCGTCCACAGGTTTTTGTTTTGTTCGTGATGTTCGTCCACAGGTTTCCAAATTAGATCCAAAGTCCCTTCGTTGCGTTTTCCTTGGGTATTCTCGGCATCAAAAGGGGTATCGTTGTTTCTCTCCTGATCTTGATCGTTATCTTGTTTCTGTATATGTCACATTGGATACTCCATTTTTTCCTTCTTCTATATATATAAGAGTGAGGGGGAGGATGATGAGCTTTAGTCTACACTATCCAGCAACTTCCTAGCTCTCTTGCTCCTACTCCTATTCCTGATCTTGCACCTACTCCTACTACAACGTCTACTGCTCTTATTCCTACTCCTGCACCAGCATCTGCTCGCCCTCGTTTTTAACAGTTTTATTCCAGGAGACCAAGGACTCCTGACTCACTTCCCCCACCTGCCGCTTCGATGATAGATCCGGTTCCATCTACTCAACCTGAGCTTGCGCCATCCACTCCTTCGACAGACCTTAACCTTCCCATTGCTCTTCGAAAAGGTAAATGCAAGTGTACCTATCCTATTTCCTCTTTTTTCAGTTATGATCATCTTTCTTCTTCTTCTTCTCGTTGTTTTGTAAGTAACCTAGACTCTGTTTCTACCCCTAAAACTATTGTTCAAGCTATCCCATCTTGGTTGGTGTGTAGCAATGACAAAGGAGATGGCTGCCTTAGATACCAATGGCCTTAGATACCAATGGTACTTGTGATCTTATGCCTCTCTCGACAGGTAAGAAAGCTATTGATTGTAAGTTGATTTTCACTGTTAAAGTGAATCCTAATGGGCCTGTTGCTCGTCTCAAGGCTCATTTAGTTGCTAATGGCTATTCTCAGATTTATGGCCTTGATTACTCAGACACTTTTTCTCCTAACGGGGAAACCTATAGAAATTAATTCCAAGAACTCTATGACAAGATAGGAATAGCTTTAAAAATCAAACTAAACTCCCCCTCTATGGCACCCAAAGCTTAAGGAAGCAAGAACACCAATAATAAAGTAAATAAGAACAAGATAAACGCCACAAGTAAATTGATAAGTTTACCTTGATTCTTGATGCAATTTGCAATTACGAGGAAGCAATCTCACATCACTCTAATCAAAGAAACGCCAAAAGCTGACAATTTTGAAGATTTTATAATTCCTTGAATATATGGTTTACACATAACAAAGCTATTTTATACTAAATCTAAAAACCATGAAACCTAAAAGAATTTAGATAAGCTAATCCACAATAAACTAAGGATAAGGATAATTAATCCGAACCAATTAAGGATAAGATAAATTAATTTAAGGAATAATTAATCCGAACCAACTAAGTATAAGGAATAATTAATCCGAACCAATTAAGGATAAGGAATAACTAATCCAAACCAACTAAGGATAAAAAGAAACGGGTGGCCGAATTATTTGTGGCCCAACCCATTAAAAACATTACAACTCAAAACTAATACAAATGGACTACCTTATTATGCCAAGGTCAGGCCCTAGCACGGGCACGGCATGCTACATGTTGCAGATTCAGTGTTGTTTTCACTCCAAAGTCAAGCCCTAGCACGGGTAGGGGGTGTTACATAGCATGGGTGTGCTTCCAGCTTTAACACACGCCTCCTTGTAATTGGCCCACTAGGAAGTACCAATGGATTTTCTATATTGTGCTTCTTGTTCCCTATCACTCCATGGATGAGTGATGACTGATCCGTATCCTCTCCTGTAGCCAAATTGTCTTCTGTTCGTTTGTTTATTTCTTTAGCAGCTACTTTTGATTGGCCTTTACATCAGTTGTATGTTAAGAATCCCTTTCTTCATGGAGATCTTCAGGAGGAAGTTTACATAGAGCAACCTTCGGGCTTTGTTGCTTAAGGGGGGTCGGGTAAAGTGTGTAAACTTTGCAAATCTCTTTTTGGCCTTAAAAACATAGTCCTCGAGTTTGATTTGGTAGATTTTGCGATGTGGTATACCAATTTGGCATGTAGAAGAGTACTTCTAATCATTCTGTATTTTTCAGAAGCACTAAGACCAATTTGATTCTACTTGTGGTTTATGTTGATGACGTTGTTATTACAAGGAGTGATTCAACCGACATTACATCACACGAGTCATTTCTCCAGACTCAGTTCCAGACAAAAGACTTAGGATCGTCGAAGTATTGTTTGGGTATTGAAGTGTCTAGGTGTAAGAAGGGCATATTCTTATCTCAAAGGAAGTATGTCTTTGACTTACTGAAGGAAACTGGAAAGTTGGGTGCCAAGCCATGCAGTGCTTCAATGACTCCTAATTTGCAACTTTCAACTGATGGTGAGCTATTTGATGATCCTGAGATATATAGAAGATTGGTGGGCAAATTGAATTATCTTACGGTAACACGTCCATATATTGCTTACCCTGTGAGCGTCTTAAGCCAGTTTATGTCTTCTCCTACTATTATACATTGGGAAGCTTTAGGAAAGATTTTGTGCTACTTGGAAGGTAATCCAGGTCGTGGCCTCCTTTATGGTAGTTATGGGCATTTGGATATTGAGTGTTTTTCAGATGCGGATTGGGCAGGTTTGAAGGTTGATAGGAGATCAACTTCGTGGTATTGTGTCTTTGTGGGTGGAAACTTGATATCGTGGAGAAGCAAGAAACAAAATGTAGTCTCACGATCGAGTGCTAAATCAGAATATCGAGCTATGACACAATCTGACCGATTCCAGTGCTAAAATCAGAATATCGAGCTATGACACAATGCGGCTTGTGAATTAAATTTGGATTCGTCAGTTGTAGAGAAAAATTTGGCTTCAAGTCGTCCTTGCCTGCCAAAGATTATGGTATGTGATGAATCAAGCTGCTCTTCACATGCATCAAATTCGGTTATTCCATAAACGAACAACTAAAAACATATTGAGATTGATTGTCATTTCATTCATGAAAAGATACAACAGGGTGTTATCTCTACAGGGCATGTTAAAACAAGTGAACAGTTAGGAGATGTCTTTACAAAAGCTCTAAAAGGACCTCGGGTTGACTCTCTTTGTAACAAGTTGGGCATGATTAACATCTATGCTCCGACTTGAGGGGAAGTGTTAAGCACTAGTTATAAATAGAGTTCTATTTGGAGTTAGATTCCTAATAGGTTTATAGTATCTTGTATATGTATATATATGTGACCCTATTGATGAAAATGTAAACAATAATATTTTTTTTCCACATTGAATTGCAAGGTCCAACCATTGCCAAAATGGCTAGCCCCTAGCCAACTGGAATGTTGGCCTCCATCACTTAAAGGCCATTTATATTTTTCATTTCCAATCAATGTGGGATAACACTCAACAAAGACAAAAATAAATGATACATATTCCCTAAATATGTAGAGGATTTGTCTTCATTGCAATAGCATATAGCAACTAACTAGTAACATGTTATTGCATAAGGCCATTCTTTCTAAATCATTTGATTGTCAGTATGCTAAATGATCAAAATTAAGGGATTTAGAAATGAAAGGAGAGAGAAAATAAATGCCACAGGCTAAAGATGGATAGAGCTAGAAGTGTGATAAATGTTCTTATTGACACTATCTTGGGGACGAGAAGTTTGAAATTATAATGAAAAGTCCAAGGTGAAGAGAAAATGCAACTAAAGGAGATCTAGAATACATAAACCTTGAATCATCATTACTACTTGCATGGCCACCAGATAGTGATTCTTAGAAGTTACAATTCCTCGTGTGTTTAACAGATTAGCAATGGCAGGTGAAATGTAACAAGACAACAATAAAAGCATCACCTTCTTTTATCAACATCCAGCAGTAAGAAAAAAAGCTGTATCTAGTTTGATAATGTTGGTGATGTAGAACCCTAATTCTCAAATCTAAGACAACCTTTATTCTTACGGAAGACTTCTGAACTTTTACTTTATCCATTCTGTGTTTGACCCTATATAGCCATTGTCATGTAATTTTTGTTGGGTCATGTTCACACTTCACATGAATTTCATTTCTTCTTACCAATGAATCATCACCATCTACTTCATAATCTCCTCTTCCCACCCAAAATAAATGAATAAATAAATAACAGATCACCTCTTCTGGAACAATTGGAGAAGCACACTCTGGAAAACTACTGGCAACGCCAAGCCATGCACAGCAATGCTGGGGACGTCCTTCTGGTCCAAACATAGTGTTCCTGAAGACCTAAAAAAATAATATGATCTCAAAGTTACACATGGGTGGTATGTTCAGATGCAACAGTAAGAAAGTATCCTATGCATAAAATGTAAGGAAGCATCTGAAGTGGCAGTGGATATAACAAGCAACTGAAACACCCATAAGTTTCAAATTCTATCTTCATCCAGAGTATAGACCAAATAATAGGAGGTTATACCACCCCAACGATGATGTTGAGGATAACAGCCTTGAAGACCTAAAACTTTAAAATAAATTCAGAAGGTAAGAACTCACTGCTGTGAGATGCTGGTGATAGAAATACAGTTTTCTCAGGCTCCCATGCTTTGATAATTGAGACTCCAGTTCATCGACACATCTGCATTGAAAGAAATTGATATGCATTATTACAGTGCATTTCAACAATCTTCAAACAACCAAATCTTAGATTTACCTTGAGAAATAACCACATCATACAATATACAGAGATGCTAAACTAAAAAGTTGTTTCAGGAATACAGAACCTAGACAGTAGGGCTTCTACTGTAACCTTTGGCAACTACTTTTCCAAGATGAGGTTTAAATCAAAATTATGACTTCACGCTTAGGCCAATGCCCCAATGCTATTTTGACAATTTCCTCCCAATAATAGTCTTTCCAAGCCAGGTCAATAAAACCACTAGATAACAAGACAAAAACAGGCCAAGTACATGGACAAAGAAAAACCACATGACAGTTTGTAACATAACACGGTAGCTCCCATATCCTATATGGCAGTTAAATAAAAAATCTGGACTAACAGTTGCAAAGACCATTATAAAAGACATGTACAATCTAGACTAACAGTGGGACTCTTACGGGCACAACAAAACTCTCACACATAAGAGCATGAATGACTTTGTATCACAAAATGCTGCAGAATGGTCCCATCACATGATACAGTCTCTTCCATTTTCAATTTTTGGAAATATTGCTCGAGAATGCATTAATAATTGTTCAAATTACATGGCATTCAGTGCAGAAATAATGATTTTACAGCAGCTTTTATTCAAAGCAAATGATGGGGCATTCATCTTAATTTTCTCAGCCATTAGATTCAAGCAAGACTTGTGTGGAAATACTGTCTCCATTATGTTTGAATGCTATAAAAGTCTTCTGCAGTTTAGGAATCAATTTCATAAAATGCAAAATTATAAATATACTAAAACGATAGGAAAAACTACTGTTCACGGGAACAGCAATTTTTCCTCTTTCCTCTTTTTCCTTGAATAAAATAATGTATTATATATTAAAATGACTTCAAAGTCCCTTATTTCAGGAAAAGTGAGTTTAGGAATATGTTGATGATTTTACCTTCATTATATGTATATTTCTGTAATTTTTTTTCTAAAATTTCCTAGACTCATTTTTCATAGTACCGTCATATATATACATATTATTAGCTCATTCTATGTAGTTGCAAACCATGATTATTATCCATTTAAAAAAAAAAAGTCCATTTTTTAACTTTTTTATTAATTAAATAGATAGAATATTTGTAAACAAAAAGTTTAAAGCAACAATTCAATACATGTTTGAATTGTTTTTAACTGATCAAAGTGGATATTTGAAACAAAGGATTCATATAGCTGACCCCAACTAGTTTGGGACTTGTTAAATGTTAAAGACTAATTGTAAATAGAGTTCTGCTAGGAGTTAGATTCCTAATAGATTTATAGTATCCTGTATATGTATATATATATGTGACCCAATTGATGAAAATAGATACAACAATAATTTTCCACATTCTTCTACATGGTATCAGAGCCATATGTATATATATATGTGACCCAATTGATGAAAATAGATACAACAATAATTTTCCACATTCTTCTACATGGTATCAGAGCCCCCTGGGCTCGTTATTTTTTTTGCTTTACTTTCTCTGCTCTGTTTTGCGTTGAAACTACAGGCAGAAGTTTTTTTTTTGGTGACTGCCAGTCTAAGTCACCCACATAGACTGGTCCTTTTGTCTCACCGCCACCCAAGGAAGAAGGACAGGCCGCCGATCGGCTCTCTCTCCAAATCCGGTCACCGGAATCCTCGCGAGTGAGCTTCACGCGCCACTCAAAAGTTTCTGCTCTTCTTCACGCGCCGGCGCGTGAGGGCACATCCGGCCATCTCCTGTCACCGGCTCTCAGTTTCCAGCCTCGATTTTGCCAGTACAGTGCAACCCAATGTGTTACGTCAGCTCTCTTTGACTTTTGTGGTGTTTTTTTGTGCTGCACCTTTGCTGTCGCCTTGCCGGGTACAGTCTGAATTTGTGAATTTCTATTGTGCTGCTGCCTATTTGCTATTCTGCTATCAAGTTACCAAGAATCGTAGTTTTCCTTTGCTGTGCTATTTGTTTTTGAGCGTTTCATCACAAATCATTTGTTTTTGAGCGTTTCATCACAAATCATGACGACTACTCCACCGGGGACTTCCGAATCGACACCTGTCATCACTGATGTGGTGCCATTACTGAATAAAATAACGGAACACAAACTTATTGGCTACAATTTTCTGGCATGGAGTAAAACAGTTCGTATATATTTTCGCAGTTTGGATAAGGATGACCACTTGACCAATGATCCACCTGAAGGAGCTGCTAGGCAAATCTGGCATAGAGAGGATGCTCGATTATTTTTACAGCTGATTGACAGGAGGTAATTGGTTTAATTATCATTGTGAGCTTTAGTTAAGGAACTGATGGATTATCTTGAATTTTTTTGTATCCGGAAAAAGGTCATCTATCCCGTATGTATGAGGTCTGCAAAGGATTTTATCGGGGACCAGCAAGATAAACCACTCACAGCTTATTTCATGGAATTTAGAAGGATTTACGAGGAACTTATGTTTTTCATTGCCATTTAGCCCCGATATTAAGGATCAAAGGATCAGCGAGAACAAATGGACTGTAATGAGTTTTCTTTTGCAGGTCTTGCTCCGACTTTTGAAAGCCAAATCACAGGTTCTTTCAGGCAGTGATGTTACCTCTCTTCAGGAGACTTTTGCTAGATTACTACGTACTGAAGGTTCTCATACCCCTTCCGCTTATGATAATAGTGCCCTTGTGAGTTGTAATCAAATAGTTAGACAGCCAGGAAACAGAGGAAGAGGAGGACATAACCGTAGTAATGGACTAATTAATCAGGAGGCAAGCAGTCTTATCTGCCGTTATTGCCATGAACCTGGTCACACTAAACGATATTGTAAGAAACTGCTAAATAAGCCCCCAAGGGCAAATATGGCCACTCAAGATTCTGCAGTTACTTTTTCTGAGAACACTGTAACAATTTCTACTGCAGAGTATGCTGAGCTCTCTAAATACCGCTCTTCTAAGTCTACTGATTCCTCAATTGCTGCTGTTGCCAATTCAGGTACTCCTACTACATGTCTTATATCTACCTCATCATCTACCTCATCAGAGTGAGTCATTGATTCTGGTTGCACAGATCATATGACAGGTAACCTTAGTCTCTTGTCCTTAGTTAAAGAACCTGAACAATTTAATCGTCATGTTACTCTAGCTAATGGGTCCACATCTTCTGTTAAGTGTATTGGCACTGCCAATCCCATCCCATCTCTTCCGTTGTCTTCTGTTTTTTGTTTGCCTTATTTTTCGTTCAATCTATTATTTGTTAGCACCAAAATTCACTTCGTCTTACTGAACTTGTTGTGTTAAATTTTATCCTTACCTTATTGTGTGGTTTCAGGAATCTTTTGACGAAGCGGATTATGGTAGAGGACGTGAGTCTGGTGGGCTTCTTCGGATGAACAGTTGTCGTCATCTCTGGTTGTGTTGCTTGTGTTGGTGCTCTCTCTCCTCTTGAGGTTCATTGACGTTTGGGTCATCCTTCATTGACTACTTTAAAGAAGTTGTGTCCGCAGTTTCAGTCTTTATCGATTTTAGAATGTGAATCTTGTCAATTTGCCAAACAACATCGTTTACCTTTAGTTCCTCAAGTCGATAAAGGGCTTCATCCCCTTTTGAGTTAGTTCATTCTGATGTTTGGGGTCTATGTCCTGTTATTTCTAAAACTGGTTTTCGATATTTTGTAACTTTTGTGGATGATTATTCTCGTGTTACTTGGTTATTTTTAATGAAAAATCGTTATGAGTTATTCTCTATTTTCTGCTCCTTTTGTGTTGAGATTAAAAATCAATTTAATACCTCTGTTCGCGCATTGCAAAGTGACAATGCTAAAGAATGTCTATCTAGTTCCTTCCAATCTTACATGTCACAGAATGGTATTCTTCATCAAACATCTTGTGTTGATACTCCTTCTCAAAATGGGGTTGCAGAAAGAAAAAATTGACATCTTCTTCAGGTTGCTAGGGCACTCCTATTTCAAATGAAGGTCCCTAAACATTTTTGGGCGGATGCCATCTCTACTGCATGTTTTTTGATTAATCGCATGCCTTCTTCTGTGCTTAATGGTGCAATTCCTTATAATGTCTTGTTTCCTTCTAAACTTTTATTCTTCTAAACTTTTATTTCCCTACTGAACCTCGATATTTTTGGGTTGTACTTGTTTGTTCGTATGTTCGTACCACAAGGTTTCCAAATTAGATCCAAAATCCCTTCGTTGTTATTTTCCTTGGCGGTATTCTCGGCATCAAAAGGGGATATCGTTATATCGTTGTTTCTCTCCCGATCTTGACCGTTATCTTATTTCTGTCGATGTCACATTTTTTGAGAATACTCCATTTTTTCCTTCTCCTATATATAAGAATGAGGGGGAGGATGGTGAGTTTTTAGTCTACGCTATCCAACAATTTCCTAGCTCTCCTGCTCCTGCTCTTGTTCCTGCTCCTGATCTTGTTCCTGTTCCTGAACTTGCACTGCTCCTGCTGCAGCGTATGCTCCTTCTATTCCCCCTCCTGCACCAACATCTGTCCGCCCTCGTTTTGAACAGGTTTATTCCAGGAGACTAGGAACTCTTGACTCACTTCCCCTATCTACCACTTCAACAGAAGATACGGCTCCCTCCACTCAACCTGAGCCTGTGCCATCCACTGCTCCGTCAGACCTTGACATTCCCATTGCTCTTCAAAAAGGTAAACGCACGTGTACCTATCCTATTTCTTCTTTTGTTAGTTATGATCATCTTTCTCCTTCATCTCGTTGTTTTTGTTTTGTAATTAACCTAGACTCTGTCTCTATCCCTAAAACTATTGTCCAACCTTTGTCCCATCCTGGTTGGTGTGCAGCAATGAAAGAGGAGATGGTTGCCTTAGATACTAATGGTACTTGGGATCTTGTACCTCTCCCGGCAGGTAAGAAGGCTATTGGTTGTAAATGGGTTTTTACAGTTAAAATGAATCCCGATGGATCTGTTGCCCGTCTCAAGGCTCGATTAGTTGCTAAGGGCTGTTCTCAGATTTATGGCCTTGAT